AATGCCCATGCCTTTAACTACTTTCATACTAATTAGGCACCTCGTGCACCCCGAGTCCAATAAGGCCAGCATTTCCCCCTCAGTACCCGAGGTGGGCACCCTTAATTTAATTGGAATGGTAAGGGGGCCCCGGTTAGGACTTACCGAGACGTCATCTTCCGAGTCGGTCTCACTCTCGTCGGGAGGAGTCGGGGTTCCCAGCTCTTTTTCCGCTGGGGGAGTGACTTCTACAACCTCCCCTATCGTAAGCCCGGTTTCGCGAGGCCTGGTTGGGGAGGATTCGGGCTTCCTTCCAGGGCCCCGTCCTTTTTTTGGATCTGGTTTGACTCGACAATCCGCAATTCGGTGGCCTTCCTTCCCACAACGGAAACAGGAAGTGGATTTGGCCCTTGTCATCACCCCTCCCTTCCGGGGCTTAGGGATCTCTCGGAGCCGAGGAGGAAGCATGGTGCTCCATGCGGAGCCTCCTCTGCGTCTACTTCGGGCTAGATCTATTTCCACCTCTTCCGCTAGCAGGTACCACAACTGCAAGTCATGGGGATCCCTTCTGGAGATGCACATGTGGTATACCTCTTCATTTAGGCCATCTTTGTAGGCTTCTATTAGAGCTTCCTGGGACCAGCCTCGAATGCGACATGCCAGCTGTCTGAACTCTTGGGTGTAGTCAGCAACTGATCTTCCCCCTTGAGTTATGGTTTTCATCCTGATCCTGGCCCTTCTCTCTGCCAGAGGGTCTTCAAACCTCCTCCTCAAGGCAGTCATAAAAACATCAAGGCTTCGCAGCTGGGGGGAGTTATCATTATACAGAGTCACCACCCAGTCAGCTGCCATCCCCTCCAGGGTTCTGGTAACACATCTTACTTTGGCTGCTTCAGAGGTGAACTCCCTTTCATATTCTGCCATATAGCTTCCAACCTGCACCAGGAAAAACCCCAAGTCCTTGGGATTTCCTCCAAACTTCACATCTAAGGAGGGCAGGTGGCGTCTTCTAGGCATTACCCCCGCTGCTGGGGCTCCCCAGACGGGAGCTGGTGGTTGCGCCGGCGTGGGATGGGCCAGGGGGGTGGTGGCAGCCCGACTTCCCCAGGCTGAACTCGCTCTCTCTTCCCCCTCATATGTTGGAGCCCTGCCGGGTTTCTCAGAAGCATCCTTAAAGCTTTTCCCGGCTTGATCCAGCCTGCATTCCATCTCCTCCCCCCCCTGCCACAGCCGTTCCCTCGCACCTCTTCGACTTACAGTGATTCCAGGAGGGGGGGGGTCTTCCGGATTTTTCCATCCAACTCCTAACGACCATCTGGGCATCTCGGTTGGAGTTTCTTCCAGTGTAAGGTCAGCTAACAAATCGGTGGCTGGCATCTCTGGTAACAGCATTTGCTGCCCCCCCACAGCTCCCTGCTGATCCTCCTCGCTGGCTGGAGATGACATGATGTGAAAACCCCCTCGGAAGAAAAATTGGTGTTTTCTCCGGGTGGGCTGATGGGGACTTTCGGAATAATGTCGGTATATGCTCCTTTCAAAATCCAAGAAAGAAATACTCAGACTCCATGGTTCAGAGCAAAGTTCTTCTTTTACTGGAAGATGAAAAGGAAGCTACAAATGGAATTCCGAAAGTGAGAATTTGGCGCGCAGATCACACATACAAAGAATTGGAATTGTTCCCACCCCCCAAAGTCCAGAAGTCTCTGCCAATTAAAAGTTCCGAATATGATCATGTGAGCATCTTCAGGTAGTGATGAGGCCTCTGTCCGTTGACCTTGACATATTTTGATAAGACCTCGCAGCTGCGCAAAAAGGATAGAGGCTAGGAAAGAAATGGAAAATTGGAAAGAAGAAATCCCCCCCCTTCTTCTGCCCACAGTAAAAGAATGCAAAACACCTCCAGCTCTCTTCCCCCCCACCATTACCCCTCCCCCCCGTTGCTAATGACAGCCGAAAGAAGTAAGCCTAGTAGTAGAGATACTAAGGGAGAAATAAAGGATAATAGTTGGGGTACCCGAAGAGATCTTGAGGCTGACAGAGACCAGATTTGAGTGAGGAAATAAGAAAAATGTTCATGGTATCTGTCAAAATTGGCCTTGAACTGCATCTGGTCTGGTCTGGGGGTTGGTATTGCCCTGGCAACCACAGGCTGAGCTGGAATGAAAGTGGATACATGCCTGATGAGGCATGTATCCACTTTGGAAGGGTCTTCCAAGGTCTGGCTGGGTTGGGGCTCTCTGGAAGAAGGGCCTCTGCAGGGTTGCTCTGAGTGGGGGCTGATCAGGGACTTGCCATGAAGAGGCTGATTGTTGCCTTATTCCCTGCATGAGGAATGGTGGGTGGGTGGCTGCTTCCTGCTCTACAGATCCCTTTGTTGGGAAGGGATTGCTGATTCTCTCTGGGGCCAGGGCATTGCTGGTGCTGGCATCCACTGGTAATGGATCCACCCTTGACCAGGATAAAATCCCCACCCTGGAGGGATACTTTCTGCAGGGGGTAAATGTCCTTCTGGGTGTGGGGGGGAAGGACTTGGAGATTGCAACATACCTGTTGTAGTCTGCATCTCTCGTCTCTCCCTTGAAATTCGATCCTGTTGGCCTTCCAATATAATTGGAGCTCCATACCTCCAATATGTCTCCTTTGCAGTATGTAAAAGGCTTGATGGAATGATTTCTCCAGGCAGCTTTTTCTCCAGTCCCGTCTGACAACTTCTCCAGGAATCTGTTTATTCAGGCCAGGCTCCTAAATCTTGTCTCTCTTCTGCATGCCTTAACTCCTGCAAAGGGGGCCTGGGGGATTCAATCAATCTTCCAGTGCCCCCCCCCCAATGACCTTCTGTCTCACCTCCCGTGTTGGCTGATTCTTTGGATTGATCCATTGTTGAAACAAATCCTGGGGTTCAGCAACCCCCGATAGCTCCCTCTTGGGAGAGCTGAAAGTTGTTAGAGTTCCGGATTAATATCAGTGTTCCAAGGAAAATCCATTCCTATCAGTAACTCCAAGACACATGCCATCTCAAAGTACTTTTATTAGAACGGTACCTGGCACATACTGGGGAAATCCGGAACTAAATTTTCCCGGCTTCCCCACAAAGTCCCAAGCTACAACCCATCCCCTTTTCCTTCATCACCAGATCATGTGCACCAATCCCAAAGTAAGTTTTTATTCTTTCTGCTCCACACTCTGTAACCTTGAACTATCAAAATAATATATTTTGTCTACTAAGAGCTACTCAATTAACATCACCCCTCCCACTTTCTTCAACTATGTGGCAGTGATGAATTCCATAGCTGACAATATGCTTTAATGGTCAACCAAGAGACAGCAGCCTACTGTAGGGACTGAGCATCCAATGGAGTGAGCTGGAGGAACCTCGACCTACAGCCAGCTTCCCCACTAGATCTCACCGTGCTCGAGATGAGGCAGAATGGCAAGAGGAGCTGGACCTCAACAAGAAGCCTATCAGGCCCAGGTGGTCTCTGGGCATGGGGCAGAGGGAAGACCCACACCTCTGGAGGGAAGCCCAGATGAGGCCATGCTGAACCAGGCCCTTTTCCTGATACAAGAGTCAATGGGGAGTTGAAGAGCCTGGAAAACTCTTGCACGGATGACTACCCAGGGTTCCTGGAACACCCCAGGCCAAGCCATGGATAGCACTACTACAGTGGGGGTTGCACCTGCTCTACCTAGCAATGCCAGCACTGGCAGCACCTGCTGCACAAGCCAATCCACCTGCAGGGGCTGCTCCTCAGAGGCACCAAGCCCCAAAGGTCCCAGCCTTGGGGGTGAAGTATGGGAGAGACCCTGAGCACCTGGGGTTTTTCCTTATTACTACATGTAGGAACATGGGACCAAACTAGGGACAGGAGAAGCCCAAATAAGACCTGTGACCATGGCTCTGGTGGGTGTAGCTGCCGAGTGGATGGTTTCTCTCCACAATGAGAACACCACCCAACTGCAGAACTATGACCACTTTATGGCAGCCCTTTGCCAACAGTTCAAGGATCCACTGGCAGAGCACAAGGCTCTGGCCCAGATGAAGACCATCACCCAAGGGCAATGGTCAGTGGCCATGTACCTGCAGGAGTTCCGAAAGTTGGCATGCCAGCTAGCCACATGGCCCAAAGACATTTTCATCAACTACTTCAAAGATGGCCTCAATGATAACGTCTACCATACATGCATCTCATGTGGGGCCCCATGCACCCTACAACACTGGTATGTGTTGACAGATAGTGTCATGCCCCCATCAGAGTCTGAATCTGTGGGGAAAAATTAGCTGGAACAAGAGCCGACAGAGATTGAGAGGGCGGCTCCGTTGTCCTTTGGAGGAAACCGGGCAAGGGCAGAGTCAGTCCAGGCAAGGCTTTTCTGAATTAGTAAGGCCTGCAGACAGGGAAGAACAGGAGAGACAGAGCTCAGGAGAAGAGCAAGGACTACCCCCTCCTGATCTGAGAACAAGGAGGGAAGACAGAAGGTGGGATTGATGATATTGAGCCAGCTACAAGGGAGGAGAGTGCCCTGCCCCCCTTCACAAGGCACACCTGGGGAATAAAGGGAAAACTAAGATATTGGTAAAAAATGTGACAGAGAAGCAGAAAAAAGAATTGACAAAGAGTTTAGATATTCAGATAGTAAAGAAAGTTACATATTTAGGAATTCAGTTGACAGCAAGACGTGGAACAATTAAAGAAGACAATTATTACAAACTTAAACAACAAATCAAGTTAGATCTGGAAAAATGGGGTAATATGCAGTTATCATTAACAGGAAGAATCACAGTGATTAAAATAAATATATTACCAAAAGTGTTGTGTTTGTTTCAAACAATTCCAATAAAACTGGAAAAATATTTTGAAGATATTAACAAAATAGTATTGAAATACATATGACAAGGGAAGAAAGCAAGAATTAATGTAAAAATGTTGCAGGATGCGTGATGGATTTCAAAGATCAGTCATTGAGCAGGGTGCAAGATGTCTGACTGCATGGGCAGTATTTATTACATTTATAGGGTTTTTACAAGAAGACAAAGGCAACATAGATACAGCATCTGGATTGGAGAATAGATCCCACTTGGGTGAAACCTCTCAACCACATTGGTACAACCTCCCAACCAATCCTTAAGACTAGTGGTGATGTTAGTAAATGAGATCACCTATAAGTCCGGAAAGTCTGGGACTTTCCACCTTCGCCAAGATATAGGGAATGAGATCATGCCAGTAGCCAAGAGGCCCCTATAGGTCTAGGATGCTGTGATGTGCCGCTAGCATCACCTACAGGATCTCAATTGCTACTACAGATGCAAAAACCAGAGGAGGGTTTGTGTTACCTAATTGGGAAATATATTATCAGGCCACAGTGTTAACCTGGATGAAAGAATGGATGACACTGAGAAATAGAAGGTTGTTAACGCTAGAGGGACATGATTTACAACTGGGCTGGCATGCATTTCTATGGTATGGGAGAAGTAAAATACATGGGTATTTTCAAAGACATATGGTCAGGAATGCATTGTTATTAGCATGAGAAAAAACTAAAGAACAACATTACATGAAGATTCCAGTCTGGCTATCAACAGTGGAAGCACTCGAAGAAGGGCAGAGCTGGTGTCATGGTGGTATGACGCGCGATCTTGATCCTCCAAGATCGCTGTCGATACCTCCACTGCTGGACGGTCTTGATGGACCTAAACTGTCCTGTAGAGATGGTGATCGATAAGGGCATGTCCTGTCGATCCCAGGAACATCGCAAAGTCCCTGATTGTTCCAGGAAAAGCCCTTTTGCCAGCGGCAGAGAGGCAGCCATTCAAACTGCTGAAGCTGGGACAGCTCCGGAATGGAAGAGATTGAAAGAAAGTGTGTCAGTTTGGTGAGATGAACTTTTACTTATTATTGTTTGAAGAGAACACCCTGAAAGATTTAAAGTGAAATTTAAGCAGCGAAATTAAGCTAGTTAAAGTGAAAGTTTTTTTCCCCTTTTTATTGGAACTTTGAATTTGGTAAAGCTTCTGAATTTTAAACTGGACTGGTTTCTTTTAAATTTTCTATTTTTGTTTTTATTTTCTTAACAATTTTTTGAAAGTCTGTTTTTCTTAAGACTCTTCTTTTTGATTTGAGATTTATTTTTTTTTTAAAAGGAAGGATTTCATTTTCTCTTTTTGTTCCTGGTATTGGATACATGAGGGGGGAGTGAAAGTGAAGGGAAAAAAAGTAGTGATGCCATCTAGAGGCTTGGATATATTGTTTCTTTTTTTCTTCTGTTTGTTTATGTACTTGTGCTATACTCAAGGACTTTGAGCTTTGCACTGGAAAAGATAGTGGGATGAGCATGGCAGATTATTTACGCAGGTGCCCATCTATGAAACTATAAATAATTAGAGCCTGGAGTTGAAGTTGAAAAAAAGAAGATTGAAGTGACCTTGAAAATACTGGAACTAGAATCTTTGAGATGATTTATTAAAGAGCCTTGGATACTCAGTGGCAGTGGCTGGCTTCACATGAGGTTATTTTTCACCTCCTTTTTTACTCCCCCCAAGCTGGATTTTTATATTTGGATCTCAACCTTCTAGTCCAGGAACTAGAATGTAATTTTTTTACTTTTTTTTTTTTGGTCTTCTTCCTTTTCTCTCTCTTATTAAGAGAAATAATTGGATTAAGGTACATAAGTGCCTGAAGATTTTTCTTTTTCCCTTTTTATTTTTTGGAGTGGCAATTGCCTGCCTGCACTCCTTTTTTTTTTCTTTTTCCTTTTCTCTTCTCTCTCTCTTTTTTTAACAGATAAACACTACAAGATGAGCAAAAAGACAATAGCCCCAGCTTCCTCAATACCAATAGCCTCTTCACCATCTGGAGGACAATGGTCAATACAGACAATCTTACAACAGGAGAAAGAGAAGAAAGTGACATTACAGATGATTATGCAAGGAATTCAGAAGATTGAAAAGAGAATGGAGAATATTTAGCAAAGAACTGAAAAGACAGATGAGAAAGTAGAAAATATTCAACAGATGATGATGAAATATGAAGACAGATTTGAAAAAAATGAAGAAGATACACAAAGGGATAAGAAAATTGGAGATATTGATTCTCAATTGAGCAATGTCAAGAAGGGCAGGTGCGAACTATTAGGATGGGAAATTGATAGATCAGAATTCTACTTAAAATTTCAAAATGTAGAAGAAGGAAAAGGTGAAAATCTTGCTGAAATAATGACAGAAATACTGGCAGAAGCATTAGAGATAACCAAAGAGAAGATGATGGATGGGATGGATGAAGTGTTCCATGTCTATACAAGATATGCAATGAGAAACAGATTACCAAGAGAAGTTCATATAAGATTCACTAAAAAGATTATCAAGACACAGATACTGCAGGTGGCAAGAGAGAAAACTTTAAAGTATAAAGATAAAGAAATTGTGGTGCTGAAACAGGTACCAAGAAGAGTAAGAGAGTGAAGAAGATAATACTTATTTTTGACCAAAGAGTTACTTAAAAGAGGAGTAAACTACAGATGGCTGATGCCAGAAGGCCTCTTGTTCACCTGGCAGGAACAAAGACACAGAATTGACACAGTTGAAAAAGCTGAGCTATTCTACTTAGAATATTTCAGAGGAAAGGAGGAAGAAACAAGAAAGGTAGAGTCATTAATTGAATTCCAAGAGGAGTGTATAGCAGTAATTGAAAAAGAAAAAGAAGGTGCAGTAGGTGGTGTACCCAGAGAGCAATGAGAATTAAGACCTACTAGAGCAATAAAAACCCCTCACTAAGCGTAACATGGATGAAAGAAAATTGATTACGATGAACATAAATGGACTTAATTTGGTTACTAAAAGAAGGAAAGTATTTCACAAATTATTATTATTTATATAAAAATTTTATTAATTTTCAATAAACAAACATACACAAACAAAACACAAAACATAAAAACATAAAACTTCTTTTTGGAAAGCGACTTAATCCCGGGTTACATCTTTTTGTACAGACATAAATTCGAATTCATGCTCACTTTATATACCATTTCATATCTTATTTACCATTCTACATTTTCTATATAGCTTCTCCCCTCTTTTCACTCTCTTAATTCTGTTTTATTTATTTCATCTCAATTTAAATCATTATGTTTATATCTTTTGTCTGTTCTGTTTCAATTATCTATTATCTTTTCTCATTAACACAAGATTTCTCCTGTAATCACTGATTGAAGTATGACACCTTTATATCTTTCCCCTAAGTTTAACACTTAAAATAATATATAATTTTCATTCTGATTCTGCTTAGTACATTTTAAAGCTACGTACTATATTTTAAAATAAAAAAGAATAATAAGTTTATAATATAATTAAAACAATAATCCATAGCAAATTAAACTATTGTTAAGTCTTAAGCATTTTACACATTCCTTTTAATATTTTATCCCATTTTATAATCATATAATATTCCAATTTTCTAACATTATTTCAAATACAAAGTCTTAATATTAATTCTTTTCCTCTCCCTTCCCACTTATAGCAAAAAAAAGTTTTTTGTTTTTTTTTCCAATGTTCAGAAATCTTTGTCCCCTTGGCTTTAATTTTCCAATTTAATTACCTGCTGATGCCAAAAATGGGTTTTTCCGATTTCTCATTCATCTGTTATCACCGTAAGGAAGGAGAGTGAGAAAAAACAAACTTTCCCTTTTTACTTTCATTCGCCACTTTTTCCAAGTCTTCTTTGGGAGCGATGTATCTTTAATAAAATTTAAATTCCAGGGTATGTAAATGTTACTTGTTATCCCAGTCAGCCAAAAACTTTCACTTCTCAGCTTCCTCCTGCGCATTCTTATCTGGATGAAAGCTTCTTTGTGGCGGCCATTGCTGACCGCCGCTCCACCGCTTTTGGAAAAGGGAGTTAAGCCATTTGAGGAGGGGGGTTGTGATTCCCCTGGACCCCTACCAGAGATCCCCTGTCTTCAGTTACCTCTACGGGGTAACTATAGCCCCCAAATCCAGCTGGATCGGGGCACTCGAGCGGTGAGCGCAGCAGAAACCGTGCACAATAGCGGATTCCTGCCGAAGCCTTGCAAACCGGAAGACCCGAAAGTATTTCACAAATTAGAGAAATTAAAATTTGATATAATTTGCCAACAAGAAGTACATATCAAAAAACAACATGAATATATATTGAAACAAAAATAATTAGGGAAATTATTTATGTCGCTGGCACAATCTAAAAAAAGAGGTGTGGTTTTATATATTAAAGACACAATTTTGGCAGAACTAATTTACACAGATGACAATGGAAGGATTTTGATGGTGGAAATAATGCACAATAATGGTAAAACACTTTTAATTGCAATCTATGCTCCAAATGATAACCGAGAAGAATTTTACAGGAAATTACATATGAAAATAATTGAATTGGACTATGTTAATATTTGTATGATGGGAGATCTTAATGGAATAGTTAATGATTGGTTGGACTATAAAACACAGAAATCAACAAAGAAAGCTAGAAAGATACTACCAAAATCTTTCTTTCGAATAACAGAAGAATTTAACTTAAAAGATGCATGGAGAGAGAGAAATGTGGAAAGTAAGCAATACACCTTTTACTCAAACAGACATGCATCATGGTCTAGAATAGACATGATATGGATGTCAGCAGAATTACTGTCCAGCATATGAGAGATTGAAATAGAAACAAGCATCTGGGCAGACCATAATCCAGTGACAGTTATTTGGAAAGGATATAAGAGGAGATCTAGATGGACCTTAAATAGTATGATATTAAAAGAAAAAGACTTTAAACAGAAAATGGAGAAAGAACTTGCTTTCTTTTTTAAAGAAAATAGAAAAGAGGATACATCTCTACAGAACCTCTGGGACATGATGAAGGCCTACACAAGAGGCTTGATAATAGACTATACAGGGAAAAGAAATATAAAACAAAAAAAGACTTTCAAAACATTGGAGGATGATTATAAAAGATTGGAAAAAGATCTACAGAAGTCCCCACAAAAAAAGACATTAAAAATAAAATGGATATAATTAAACATAAAATAGGACTAATGGAAAAAGAGGAACTAGCACAAAAAAATAAAAATGCTAAACAGAATTACTTTGAAGATACAAATAAACCAGGCAGATGGCTAGCTTATAAACTGAGAAAGCAAAGAGAAGCAAGAAGGATTAGCCAACTAATAAATGAAGAAGGACATGTTTGCTATGGAAATGAGAAGAAAATAATTACACAAGATTACTCTG